AAAATATGAGATGGAATTTACAAAATATTATTTATAACTGAAAATAATACAGAAAATTCCAATTGTGAAAACAACTCCCCCATCTAATCACATGAGGGAGTTTTTATGTGAAAATACTTTCACATGAGAATTTTCCCATGTACCAAATGTGTCCTAAATGTAATAAAGAGAAGTGTTAACAAGCGTATATTGTCACTCACAAGCACACACTTTGCAGGTGCATTAAATATATTAACCATTGAAAAAAACTCCCCATCTAATCACGAGGGAGTTTTTCATGTGAAAATAGTTTCACATGAGTATTTTTACATATACCAAATATGTCCTAAACGTAATAACAGAGGTATTGGCTCTCACAAGCCCACATTTTTGCATGTTCATTAAATACTTTAAGAATTTAAAAAAATATAAGACTAACCCAAATTAGAATTACAAAGATCAATAAGTAAATATATTTAGGGCATAATGATTAATGGAATTCATGAGACAAAAAATTAATCCTTTAGAACAGTCAAGCACAAAACTATAATTGCCATTATTAAGCAAAAGGAAAATATTGATAAATCAAACTATCATAATCTTATATAATGCAAGATTTAAAAAACCAACAATGCTGATTTCTCTTTAGCTCATTCTAAATTCACTTAGAAAATTGGAAAAAAGAATTTAACTGAAACAATTACATCATAATATGAGAATACAAAAAAATTACACTTACATAATCATAATAATATGTTAATAAAAAATTTACCTAATTTAATGTATCACTTCAGTCTACTCCAATGCCCCGGCATTTTTCTTCCAATGTACCACAATCATTCTGGTTTACTAACCAAAATTTGTGTAGAGAGATGCCTAAAAATCCTTTATAATAGAAAAATTATAAAAACGAGACTTGTCACAATAGATGCATATTATTCTATACTATTATCATGTTGTTGAAAGCACGTGATTCATTAACATGCAAAACGTATGGCTAGTTAGTCATGTGGTTCACAATAATACTTTGTTTCATACACCAAACTTTGATACTTGTTAGTTTTAAAACTTTTTGAATGGTCATTCACTTACGTTGTTACAAGTGTTATGTGGAGCACTTGTATCTCGTTTGACCAAACAATTCCGTATGGTACACAAACTCATAAAATCAAGAAAAACTAATGAAAATATACATGTGAGAAGATCTATTCAACGTCTCACTCATATCTTTTGATTTAATTTTAAAAATATCATCCAAGATCAAATAAACATGTTTTAAAATTGGAAAAATTACACATGGACACAATAAACCTGAAAATATATAATCTAAAATTTGATATGACCAAAATACCACTAAAAAAGATAGGGGTAATTTGGTCATTTCAAACTCTTGAAAATATTATTTTTATATTTTTATATGATGTCCGATTGTATTACGTACAATTTCATGCCAATCTCCTTTATTGAAAAAACATTGAAATTTAAATGGGCTACTTTTCCGTAGCTCTTTCAATGCTACAATATTAACCTAGAGTTAAGAGATGGATATATGTCGTAAGAATACAAATGGATCCTATTCGTAGAAGAATATAGGGTAAGTGACCTTTGAAGAGATGTAGTTTAGGGTAATCTACAAGGTATTTGGATTCCCATCTTTCTTAGGATTCTTAGGTTAGAGAAGTAAGAGAATTTTTTTAAAAAAAGTTATCGAAAGAGATATGTAGAGACTGAGAGATCTATTAAGCCACAGTTATAGATTGGAAATATTACAAGAATAAAATAGGATCCTATTAATAGATAGAATGTAGGGTACCTTACCTTTCAAAAGATAAGTTTAAGGTAATATGTAAGATAATTGGATTATCTTCTTTCTTACTATTCTTAGACCAAGGAGATACGAGAAAAATATGGTACATTTTGAGTTTTTGAAAAATTACGGAAAGAGATGTAGAGATTGAGAGGGAATTGGATTCTTTTTTTAGATTTTTTAGGTTAGAGAGATGAGAAAAATATGGAATGTCCTAATTTTTTGAAAACTGATATGTAAATATTGAGAGATTTCTCTCTCTCTTCCTCGTTCCCTCTCTCTCCTCCTTTTATCTTCTTCTATCTTTCTCGGTCTTCTCTTCTCGCTCTCGCTTTCCTCACTCCTCTCATTTCTCTCTCATTTCCCCTCCCCCTCTCTCTCACTCTTTTTACACTCTTTTTTCCTTTATCTCTTCTAAGCTCATTTCTCTTTCTCCCTCGGCCCTCTACTTTTTAGGTTTTTATTCTCTCTCTTCTACCATTATGTTACCCTTCTCTTTACGGATACCACTTCTCAAACAGAACAGGGAATGGACACCCCTGATCTAGCCCATGTTGCCGTGCAAAGCGGTAAGGGTAATATGCCTCGAGTTTCGAGCCAAATGGTGTTCGAACTGGTAGAATACACCCCCATATGCTCAATAGAAACATCAGCTCAGGCATACCAGTGGAAGTACCATCAAGGTCATGGCCTAGCTGATCGATAAAAGCACGGTCGGTATGACCGCCCACGGGAAACAGGTTCCCACGAGTGAAGAAAGAATCCCTCCAAAGAGGTTTCGTGCATGACCCCGGGGGTATAAAATTTGTACTTCTGACGAGCAATCTTTACAAGATGGGTGCAAACAGTCCTAGAGAAGGCGGCACTCGTTATGTAAGTTCTCGGGAAGTAAGCCGAAGGCCAATCCAACAGGTAATTGATCGGGAATGCTTTCTTGAAATTCCCTGGGAAGACCTCTCCCCCTGTTAGCCTTGATCCATCTCCCCCTTTATATGGCTTTCCACATGAAATCGACCCTCCCCCTCTTATGGCTTTCCACATGAAATCGACCCAAGGCCGTAATAGATGCTACATAACACCGGCTGCATCAAGGCATATTGGTTTCCTCGCGCCATGTCACAGACTGCGAAGAAACAGCCTGGTCGAATCACATTGCTAGACCCGGAAAGGCAAACTTGCATAAAAAACGAGCCAAGTATGCAGCAAGATAAAGGTCGTCCCTCATAGACTGGCGCACGAAGGTCGCAGAGATGATTTTCTCACTCTCTTTGCCCTTGCCACCCAGAACACAGTATTAGGGCTCGACCGCATCTGGACGCTTGCCATAGAAAAATCCGAACCAGTGAGAAAAGCTCACTTGGCCATCATTGACCTGTGAGCTGAATAGTTGATAGATCTCAAATATCTCCTGGAGGCCAAGAGGAGGTGTTTCGCCCCCCAATAGCTCCCCTTCGAAGATGACTGAGTTGTTCGAGACAAATTCATCATACATGGCCCCCTTCATGGGGAGGCCCCCAACAAAGTGCAGGTCCAATATGGAGTAGCCGCTCTCGCCATGACAAAAAAGCCATGAATTGCTGGCATGGCTCTAGGTCTCCGAAAGGGCCTGCATGGTGTTCGGACAGCGGTCGAAATACCCTGCAGAACTCTGTACTGCTGCTAACAAGGAAGCAAGCTTGAGGTTATCTTCATAGGCCTGGAGCACCTCAACTATACCCCTTCACAAATTGATGTTCCCCCTGCATTCGAAGTCCTTCGGGGGACCAAGTTAATCCCTTTGTTTTGGCCATCAGCTTCCCGAGGCTGGGAAGATCCTCGCTAGAAGCTAAATCTCGGTGCAAGAAATGGAATATCGGGATTCCCTTCTCCCGAACTATCGATACCCCGTCTTCAGTCTCTCGGACGTCAAAACGAGCACTCTCACTTGCAAAAGTGACGCTGAAATGCCATTGCAGAGCGTGGGCAGGCTTTATAAGCCATACATGCTCCTCTCTCACAAGACTGACACTTGTGAAAGAGTCAGTCCCAACCTCGCCTACCCAGGGAAGGTTCCTGCTCCAAGGCATGTCATCTAAAGAGGCACAAGGAAACACAAAGTCCCAATTAACTCATGGATACATAAAAAGCCTGTAGAAAAAGCAAAAGAAGGAAGACACAGGGCTTGGCAAAAATTCAACAGTACCTCCCTTGTAAACCGGACTTTTGACAAAAAAAAAAAAAAAAAGGGTGCCCTAACAATCCAAAGCACCCCAAGAGATGCTCAGGGTACTGAACTGTGGGGCGTACCCAAGCCAGAAAAACCCCGGTAGATTCAATTCAGGTAAAATCAATGCAGTAGTTCTCAAAAAGCACTAAAAATGCTTAAAAGGCATTAAAAGTGCTTAAAAAGTATTAAAAATGTTCAAAAAGTGTTAAAAGTACTCCGAAAGCATAAAAAGTGCCCAAAAAGCATTTAAAGCGCTAAAAAGGTTCTTAAAATGCTTAAAAAGTGCTTAAAATACTTGAAGAGAGCTTGAAATGCTTAAAAACCATTAAAAGTACTAATTAAGTGTTAAAAATGCTCAAGGTAAGGTGGTTAATAAGCACAATAAATACTTTAAGTGCTAAAGGAGAGGCAATAATGTGCTACCATAAGCATATAAAGTGCCAAGTATGGGAAGAACAAAAGAAGCAAGGGAGAGAGTGGGCATACAAAATTCCCGAGTACCAGACGCCCCCGCCATCAGACCTCGCCACGTTGGAAGAAAACCCCTTTGGCAGCCCTTTTGAAAGCCCACTTTCTCACTCTAGAAGGGTCCCCTAATTCTTCTCACTACAATTTTTAAAAATAAGTGAGAATGGCAAAAAAGTGAGCCCCCTCCCACTCTTATATACCCTCTTCAAAAAGGTCCTTTTTCACCTTTCCTCTATAACCCCTCACAAATCCCGTATTCCAACCCAGCCCATGAACACTTTTGGGTCATTTCAAAAAACGAAAAAGGCACTTTGGGAAGGGATTAACAAAGAAATGTTTTTGCCCTTGAAGACCCTTCTTTAAGCCAAAATTTGACAAAGGGCAAAATGGTCAAATAGGGTCAAAGGGCATCAGAATCACGTGAAGCCGATGTCAGGGTGTAGAAAAATTTGATAAGCACGAAGGGCCCAATCACCGGTGAAAACGGGCCTCCAAGTAGGGCCGCCAAGCCCAATTAGGGCCTGGTGGACCCCTCTTCTTCTGTCTCCTCTTCCCCTCATAGTTGGGCCGGTCTGGGCTTTAGACCCGAGCCCAAAGCCCTCTCCTTCTCCCATGTGCGCCTCAAGTCAAGCACGTCTTCCTCCCCGCTGTTGCCAATGGGTCAAGCTGGGCCTTCAACCCGAACCCGAGCCCGACCTCCTGCCCTCTCTCACGCGCACGCTTCCCTCTCCCCCTCCTTTGCACATGGGCCGAGCCGGGCTCCTGCCCTGAGCCTAAGCCACTCAACCTCCCTCTCCCCCTCTCACACGTGCGCACGCGTGCCACCCTCTCTCACGTGCACTTGACTCCTCTCTCTTCCGCTCACACATGCACACACTCCATTCTTGCACCCGTGCTCTCACCCTCTCACGTGCGAGCTTGCACACGCTTCTCGCCCACTTGCATGCAACCCTTTCTCTCTCCGTAACACGCATGTGCTCCCCCACTCACGCACGAAAAAATCTCTCTCTTCCTCTCATTTTTCTTTCTCTCTCCTCTTCGCACCTCCTCTCGCACTTTTTCCCCACATTTGCCACCCTATTTCACATGCGCAAACCCATCTGTGTGCGCACTTTTCTTTTCTCTCTCCTTACCAAAGAACCTCTTTCTCTCCCCTCTTCGCACCCTCGCACTTGCACGCCCACTCTTACCTAAGCATGCATCTCACCTCTCTCATACATGCACATCTCTCCTTGAGTAACAACCGCCCCATGCTCACTCCATTCATTTCCCACAAAAACTCACCCCATTCCCCAGTGAGTCGTACCCTCCATCATCGACCCTTCATCATGCATAAGAACTTGCATCATTCTCCAGTGACTCGTACCCTCCACCACTAACCAATCTATTTGAGGGTATCTTTCAATACTTGTATCTCCGGTTCAAATAAGGAGAAAGCAATTTGCGGCCAAGATCCGTAGGTACCAAAATTCTTGTGGACTACACGAGCTGTAGGACAACAAACCCTAATCTACAATGAAATTTCTGACAGTCTCAGAATTACCAAAAAATGCTTAGAAACATAGCTATGGGTTTCCTAAGAACATCTGTCAAGTTTTGTCGCAATTCAATCTATTTAAAGTAGTGCAGATGCAAAAAAAAATTTTGAAATTCAACCTACAGCCTTATCATCGGAGCATCAAATATCATGGGACCACTGCCATAGGATCCAGGACATTTAAAAGCCCCCAGGGACCAAGTTTCGGCTTAATCGGACCTTTCTAGACCAAGTTATGGCCAAATTACCCAAAACGAGTAGGTTACATACTATTACGGTGCACCATCAGTGAACCACTTTCCATTAATGGAAACTGCGTTTTTTGATTTTGAGCTCAACATCAGACACTCGTATCTTCCTTGTCCTTGATCAGAATGAGCCCAAATTTTGGAAACATGTTCATCTCGTCGGCTCAATCGATTTGATATGTGGCATGCCCCACGGTGTGGCTCGAGTCGAGAGAAAACCTAGAGAGAAGAGTGTGTTTCAAAGCAAGGTTGTAGAATTTCCAGCAAGTACGGGCCTTGATTGAGCGATCACATCGCAACGCTCGCATGTCCAATCGGCCTGAAACTAGATCCGTTACGAGCACTAGGTAAGAGGCTATGTTTGAGCCGAAACCTCACACGTGATGGACGGTCGGATTCGCCGCATGATAAGGATAAAGTTTCTACACTTTCTAGCCATCGGAAACCAAATTCCGGCCAAAATACCTAATTTGGAAAACGGTCGTTCGGGCACCAAATCAAGCCACAATTATTGCCAAAATTTCATGACGGCATGCTCGTCAAAATGCAGCGAAGAAATCGTAGAGAAATAGCGAGAAACTAGCGTGATCTTAAACCAAAGATTGCACGTTTCTCGTAATTTTCACACCTCGCGATTGTGGCCTAAAAACCCAATCCATGGAACAAAATGCATATCAAAACGACCGTCTCCCTGAGCTGATCAAGAAACCGATAATCTTTTGACCGGATAGAGGCCTGAAAAATCCCGAACAGGCCACAAAAGATCGCAAGAATTGCATGGCTATGACAGAGACCAAATCGAAATTTCTGGAATTGTCGGTAATGGGCAAAATCATCATTTTGTCTCTATTTTCTTATTTCTAGTTAATTTATTTTAATGCTACTTTTTCAACAATTAGGTAAAAAATTGAGCATCCACCCATGTTTGGATTGAAATTCTATATATACACATGATGTAATTGTACATGGATCCCTTTCTTATCAATTAAAAATTCTTGGCTTGTGTTCATCTTTGGGTCACGTTTTTCCTTTTTTTGGAGAGAGAAAGAAAGGAGAAAGAAAACTTTGGCTGGTACCCTTAAGCCCCATTGAGGTAATATTCTCTCTCCTCCCCTCTTTCTCTCTCCTCTTCTTTCTCTCTCTTCTCTTTCTCTCTACTCTTCTCTCTTTCTCTTTCCTCTTCTTTTCTTTCTCTCTCTTCTTTCCTTTCTCTCTCTTCTTCTTTCCTTTCTATCACTTGTTTCATTTCTCTCTTTGCTTCTTTCTTTTTTCTTTCTTTCTCTCTCTTGCTTGCTCTCTCTTAACTGGGATGGCAGGCTGCGACCTTTTTCGAGTGGTGGGCTTAGCTGCCACCCTGTCTTGCTCTTTTCTCTCTCTTTCTCTCCCCTCTACGGGACGATAGTCTTACCCACCATCCCAAACTTTCTTCTTCTCTCACCTGTCTAGGATGGCATCCCAAACCTCCTTTCTCTCTCTCCTCTTAAGACGACAGGGTCAACCAGCCGGCTCAAAGTCTCCTCTCTCTCTTCCTCTTCGAGACGGCAGGTCAACCTGCCGTCCTAAATTCTTTTCTCTCTCTTCCTCCTCGGACTGTAGGGTTTGCTGTCGTCTCAAACTTTCTTCCCTTCTCTCTCTCTTCCCTTGGGACGGCAGAGTCAACCCGCCGTCCCCAACTCATCTCATCTCACTGGGACGGTGGACAGTGCTGGCATCCCAACCTCTACCCTCCCTTTCTTCACTCATGTCACTGGGACGGCAAGCTTGGCTGTCGTCCCAAATTTTGTCCCTCTCTTTTCTTCTCATCTCTTTGAGATGGAAGTCTTGCCTGCCATCCCTGCTTTCTCTTCTCCTCTTTTCCTTCTCCCTTCTCTTTTCTATCTCTTTTTCCTTCTCCCTTCTCTTTTCTATCTCTTTGTTATCTCTATTCTTTCTTCTCTCATTCTCTTTCTTCTCTTTTTCTCTCTTCTCTTCTCTTTCCTCTCTTCTCTCTCTTGCTTTCTCTTTCTTTTCCTCCTCCTCTCTCTTCCTCTCTCTCTTATTTCTCTTTATCTTATTTCACTCTATTTTATTTCACTCTCGTCTCTTCTCCCTTTTGGAAGGTCTAGCGAAAGCCAAGCTACCCTTCACCCCTCTCTCTTTCTCCTCTTTCTATATTCTCTTTCCTTCTTCTCTCTTTTCTCTCTCTGAAGGACTAGGTGAAAGCCAAACTAGCCTTCGTCCATCTTTTTTCTCTTTCCCAAAAATACATTTTATCTCTGAAGATCTAGGTAGAAACCAAACTAGCCTTCGTCTCCCTTTTCTCTCTCTCATTCTTTCTCTTCTCTCTCTCTTTTTGAAGAACTAGGTAAAAGCCAAACTAATCTTTGTTCCCCTTTTCTTTCTCTATTCTCTTCTCTTTCTATCTCTCATCTCTTTTCCTTCATTTCTCTTTTCTCTCTTTGTACTTTTTCCTCTCTCTTTCTGAAGAACTAGGCGAAAGCCAAACTAGTCTTCTTTTCTCTTTTCTCTCTCTATTCTCTTCTCTTTCTATCTCTTATCTCTTTTCTTCCCTCTTTCATTCTCTTCTTCTCAACCCCTTTCTTTCATTCTCTACTAAAGAACGTTGTCATGAGTCCCTTGTTAAGAAGATGCCGAAAAGTTATTCAATTGACACGGACTCAATGGCATCATTCCCCCATTCTCCCTTTGAATGTGCACACTTGTGTTCATTCACCCAAAGACAATGTGGGGTCTTCTGACCCACTTGTCTGTACCTCTAATGTGTATGTGTGAATGTATGAAGGAAGAATAGGTGAAGGAGGTGATTCTGAACTGGCCTCAGGCCACGGGGGCATTCTTCATGATCTAAGAGGGCACCCACGCAAGCAGCCCGACCGTGTCACGTACCCACGTGAGGTAAGTCCTGCCTCACAACCAAATTCCTCTCTCACCGGTTGGTATCCCTGCCTGCGTCCTCTTTATGTGGTTCTCGAGAGAAAGATCTCCGATCCCAAGCTCATCTCGAACTCAAAACTACACTACCAGGTCATCCTGACCCGGAGGGTGAGATCAAGGCACCTAACCAGCTTGGCAACTCCACTGGGGACATGCTAGCCTATCGTTGAATCATCCTTGTTTGGCCTTTCCTTTCTGTTATTCTTGCTTTCTAACACACACACATGTCGTTAGGGTTGTTCAACCCCTTTATTTTAGTCGGGGATTTTCTAATCCCCGCACTTGTGAGTATTCCTCAAGAACAGGTTCCACGAACCTCATTCCCGACCTTCCTTTTGAGTATTGACCCGATGTCACACTCCCAGGTCCTCACCTGGATTGGTGTAAGGGACGTAAAAGTCCCTCACTCCCCATCTCTTAGCATTGGTGGACCCTCCACCAATGCA